CAAAGGCTCAGCCATACCTGAGGTGCTCCTGCACCATGCTCCCCAGCACCTCTTCTTGTTTTGGGTACCAGCTGTGCTGGAGGGTCACTCTGGTGCTGTGGGACCAGCTGGAGCACTCGCATGCCAGGGCAGGACGTTATGTGAGAGAAATGCAAGTGGTTTCCACTCTGGGTGTAAAACCATACCCAGAGAAGTGTTAAGATGGGGGAGGACGCTGGGGAGGTGATGAGCCCTGAGAGCCAGGCTGCAGCTTGAGACAAGGCACCGTGCTGAGCCAAGGGGAGCTCAGCACCACAGAGAGAGAGAGCTGCCTCCACCCTGCAGCTGACGGTGGCACTTCCCCTGCTCCCCTCTACTGATGCAGTGCTTCAAGGATCAAGAGGAACAGAGGGGAAAGCAAACTTGCAGGGTGCCAGGTCCCAGCTGTCTAGGGAGGCTCTTTCCAGGGAAGTGCTGAGACCACTGGAGATGTAAGCATCACATTTCTGTAGGGAACTTGGGAGGGGAAGCCGCCAGTGGCGCAGGGGCAGGGCTGAGGACGTGCAGCAAGGGCAGCTCTCACTCTTCCAGTGAGTGGACTGGAAGGGTTAAGCCCCGGTCTTGACCCCCACCTCCTGCTGTCGTTCTGGGCAGCAGAGCCAGTTGGTGACAAGAGGCTGATGCTGATGAGGGAGCATGTGAAGCCGGAGCTGTGAATGGGGCTTTATCCCAGGAGGGACCTGCCTCTGCTCGGTCCCTGCCCTGCTGCCAGCACCAGCTGCAGGCAGAGTCCTGCAGGCAGCGAAGTGCCAGTAGCCTCTGAGCGGAGCATACGGGGCTGGGGAGGCAGGAGACTCGCCCTTGGGGCAGGCTGAGGTTCCCCTGCAGCATGTGGAGGTCTCCCAGGAAGACGTGCACGGCTGATCTGTGCTCCAACGCACGGGGCTCCAGTGAGGGAGGCCGGGGAAGGTCTGCAGGCCAGCCTGGAGCAACCCAGGCCTAGGGTTTGGCAGGAGATTGCTTGGTACAGGGGAGCAGGGTCTCTGTTTAATGGTATCTTCTCTTCTTGACTTTCAGATGAAAGACACAGGAAAGGAAGGACACAGCCCTGGTTGTTCCCTTACGGTGCTGCTCTGGGGATGCTCCACCACGTCCTGCAGCCCTGCCTGGGGAGTGGGCTCACCCCCAGCGAATGGACCATAGCTCTCCAGGTGGCACTGCTGCAGAAGGGAGCTCCACCAGGCTCCAAAGAATGAGGCAGAGGCATCCCCGCTTGAGAAATGCAGCTGCTTTTGCAACCGCCGCTGCCTTGACCCTCCACTTTGCCGTAAGGGTGTAGATTCATCTGTGCAACCACCCCACCGTGCCCTCCGTCCCACCCACCCACCATGCCAGAGCTGGAAGAGCTGAGCAGCCCCCGCACCCCTGCGGATGCAGACCATATCCAGAGGAACATCTTGGAGGAGCACGTGGAGCTCTGGTGGTTCCAGGACCCCAAGAAGTCCATCCTGTGCTACGGGATGGCTGTGGTGCTGATCCTGGCCTGCGGGATCGGGGGCATCATCCTGCTGTACAGCACGAGCAGCCGGTCCGGGGAGGGGCGGGGGGGGCGGGGGG